AGTTGAGGCTTGAAGATGGTATTCTTCTCCGGAGATCGGAAACTGCAGATGGGAAAGTGACGACCTGGCAAACGGTTACGGGAAGTTGTGCTGCGTCAATCCCATGATAGTTTAACAGGAGGACATCTCGGAGTTCAGAAGACATTGAATCACCTACGGCAGAGATTTTACTGGATAGGTATGAGGTAAGATGTGGAGGAATGGTGCAGGACCTGCAGTACATGTTGTGCTAAAAGGGGACCCAAGCATAATATAGTGTGGTTGGAATAATATTATTTTCACTTCTGATAATCTTGAAAACCCCTAAGGTACTAGATAAAGAATGTGGTGCTTATAAAACTGTATATATGATACGCCTAATGCTTATGTCTTATGACAAATACAATGAAAGTTGTATTCTTTATATTTGTTAATAACGCATACTTTAGTTACAACGTTAAAACTAGATTGTCATGATTTAAAACAAGGAAACTATTGAAATCTCTAACCAGTATGTTTATTAAACACATATAAACCACCTGAGAACGATACCGCTCACTTTGCTAGCTGTTGTTAAATAGCGATCGTTTGTATATAGGTAGTAATTATTGATACAGCAATCTGCTTTACCAGTAGCAAAGTTACTTTCTATGAAACATCACTTGAAGCGCTACGGTTAGCCTGATAACAATTTTCAGGCTGCGGTCTTAGCGACGTAGGGTCTTTGTAGAGCTTTGGTTAATAACACGCTACATGCAGTATTAAGAAGTGCCACTCAACCGTTTCGAAATATCTGATTATTACAGGAATCGAGGTTTTGCCTACTGCAGCTAAAATTTGAATGTTTATGTTTGTTCTCTTTATATTATTTTGAAATACTGACACACACAGGCGGCAGATCATATTTGAATTGGGGCAGGAGCACCGACAATTGGTGGCACCTTATTTGCTAAGTTAACCATGACCATTGAATTCAAAACTGAAACAGCGACTTTTTATGATAGTTACACACAAGTCTCAATTCCCCATTCACAGGGTACTTAGCTGTTGGGTCAAAACTGGGGGACACATGCCCCCAAGATTCCTCCGCCTATGCTGTCAACATGCGATATATATTATATTGTACTTACGAATGTAATTAAATATCAGTTTGTTTACTAACTAAATTTTTACTTGATTAAGAAGTTAAGCTCAATATGGAAAGGAATGCGTTTAGGAATAAATGCTTTTGGCTTATATTTATTTTATAAAGAACATGTATGTTAATATTTGAACAGTGAAAAAATAGACTAAGTCAATGAACAAAAGCATTTCTGCCAAGGGCAATAAACTAGATGTGAACGTCAGAAACGTGACAACAAATGGCACGCGACTTGGTGATCACGTGATTGTTATACACTCGCCTCGTACACGTTGTGTTACATAAGCGAGTTAAAACGCATTGGCCGATGTGGAAGTTTGGAAGTGGTTGTTTTAAATTTTGGGTAATCTTGTCTTCGCTGTAGATGAAGTTTGTTGAAGTTGGTGAATGTATTTAACAACATAAAGATAATGAATAATGGTGATGATAAAAAGATTGTACAAATCATGATTATGCCGAGCAAGTGACATGTGCGAAAGGGCAATGAAACTGAAAGAACATGGGTCTACAATAAGAACCACAGACTTGCAAGTTGCAGTTACTAGGTGTTAGTGTTACTATTACAAGTACAATTAGTATTACTGCTACTATTAGGCGTATTGGTTAGTGTTAAGCTCGCTAAAGGTAGTAGATTTCAGGAAGCTATGGAAGTAAATTCCCATTCATGTCAGTGTGGGCCCGCACCACCAGATCATTTAGAAAGTATTATAGAATCTCTAACTCAAATAGCCAAAGAACGGTCATGTCGACGTCCTAGTTTAACGTTGTCAAAGATCGGGGATCTGGCGGGATGTTGTGCCTGTCTAGATATTTTTTTCGAGCCTGTCACTGCCTCATGTGGACACACATTCTGTAGAAAATGTTTGATTAAAGAAAATATGCTAATTACATGTAATGTTTGTGGGGCAACTCACACTTTTAACTACATTTCAAGTCTTAAAATTAATGTGACCGTTTCGACTCTCATAGAAAAATGGTGGTTAAATGCATTGCAGTCAGCAAAATTAAGATGTGATGGAAATGAGCTGTTTCTCATTGGTAAAGTGGAATTAGCCCTTGAAAAGTATACGCAAGCTCATGAATTGGGTGAGTTTTAATGCTATTTTCTGTTTTACTTGTAAAGGAAATATTAAACTAATTATATATAATAATGAAGTTCAAGCTATGTTCAGTAATAATAGTTTCTAAACAAGAGTCCTATAATCTTCCATTTTTAAAGTTAATTAAATATATTAAATAATTTAACCTGTCATCTCATGTTATAACTTGTAGTTATATTAGAAATAAACTCACGTCTCACGTATTAATTATTATGGATTTAACTTTTATTACATAGTTTAAGTGATCACTGTAAACCGGGCAGCTTTGAAAATATTTTTTCGAAAACTTTGTAGTTATTTTTGGTATCCATGAAAAGTTATCTTGCAATTTTATATCTTTTTACAATGTTCAGGATCTTTCTTGAGATTAGGTTGGTTTTAATTGCAAATGCAATGGTCAATTGATACTACTGTCACATTCAACTTTTAACTTAGATGATGGCTTTCATGTAATGATTGTTTCAAACTGTAAGTATTTAAATTTAATGTTGTTTTCATAAGCAAGCTCATATAAGCTTTTAGAATGTAGTTAAAAAATAGAGTATTTATCTGTTTATTAATTACATTATTAATTACAACATGCTATCCTACCATGTTAAACAATTAATTGTGTAGTTACATATCAAATAGGGGTTATTATTATGAACAGAATGAGAATGGTGAGGAGACAAGTATGGTGTCAATAATAAGGTTGTAATAGTACAGGTAAGTGGACAGTATTACTTGGTAAACTTTAAGGTGAAGAATGGAAGAGTAACATCCTCATCAGATTCAAATTACAGTTACTACCATATTCATGCAGCCCTTATTAAAAGTGTCATTAAAATTTGTATGGCTCCACATATGTGAAGAGGGGTGTTTAGGATTAGAGCAAATAATCAAAGTCTTGAGTGTTCCAGTATAAGATAGAGAAGGATTACTGATGTTTCTTGAAACTGGATTGTGACCGTGCATTAAGTTCTCAGTAACTGAGGAGAAGTTCATGTGAAATTCCCAGTTTAGTGGACAGTCACTGTAGCAGTGTTTATTAGTACACAGTGTTCATGTTTATAAGTTTATATATTTGTGTGTGTTTTTATAATGCTACATTTGCATTGCAACTATAGTTATAAAACACTATTTTGATTGCATACATTGACACATATGTTTCAAAAGACCTCTAGCCATTCGGAGAAACCCCAATTTCGGGTTTCTTTAAACAGTCACTGGAAATGTGTTCAAAGTAGCCCCTTTCTTTGAGCAACTGATAAATAGTGTATACATGTAGACACAAATAACATATTGTTGCAAAATGTAATGAGACCCATAAGACCCAGTTGGATCCCTAGTACCAATAATAAACATAAAGAAACATAGTACATTTAATTATAAACAGAAATTTTCAAAAAAGTAAAAAAAATATTCAATGTACCCCAGTTTATGGTATTTATAAAATTCTTAAAATACTTTAAATTTGAAAAAAGTTTTGTTGTTTGCAGATTATTTATAGTATCACTTATGTGTGTTTTTTGCAACAAGTTATAAAACCATATGCTTGTTAGTTTTATGTGATTTTTATTTATTAATTTATTTTTAAAGGAAGTTGGAGTAGGTCAGGATACAGATATAGTTGTAAAGTTCAGACTAGCTGGGGTCAGTAATTTAAGTCAGAGTTAAAATAAATACAATACTGAACAGCTATAACTTTGTACAGTATGACAGTTTTTCATTAATTACTGTAAAGGTTGATTTGTTTTTTCTGTTATTAAATTTCAAAACTATAAATATATACAAAAGTGTACCCACATAAAAGAAGAAAATTGGAAGGAAGCTACCTTGATTGTGTTCATGGTCTAATGCAGAGTCAACAGTAGTAATCAATGCAATGTTGCATACATATATATATATATATATATATATGTATGTGTGGAAATATACCAAAACACTACTAGAATTGAACTCTTCTGTTTTTTTCTCCTTTTTATTTTCTTCCAGTATTATTACTCCAAAGGTCAATATCCAGAATTTTAATTTACAGAGAATCTGTAATAATGATGTTCAAATACCACTGTTCAATGAAACATAAGTAACCTGAATTATATAAATATTTTTCACAATGCATAAAATACAAGCCTTATTTAAATTAAATACATTAGAATATACTCAAAAATAAATTAGTTTATGCTTACCAAATATATTTCACTTCTCATCTAATCCTTTAAAATTTTGTTATTAAAACTTTATCTAAGTTACACTTTCTCCTGTTGTTATAGAAAAGCTGCTTATTTCCATAATATTTGACAGTTAATAGAAAAATGTATCTCTTTATTGTCCTTTCTGTGATTCCTAGTAATAGTTTTTACCATTGCACAGTTCCAACTTACATAACCCAACTACTGTTACTTCTTCCCCTCCTACTTCTCTGTATTTAAAGTGGTGCCAAAAAAAAAGTATTTTTGGAAAATTAATTTTGTATGTTTTATAATACCAGAAAAGGGAACACATGAAAATAAGGCACTTATTTACAATTTTAAATTTTATCAAAATACATTCATTGAAATGTTTGCTGGCATATACTGTGCTTTTTTTTTAGACTTCTAACATGAAATTTGTGTAAATTCATCCTTAATCTTAAATTATCTGTTTAACCAACAGAGAATTTTTTTTTTTATCAAAAATAGTTATTCTTAGCAATTTCTAAACCTTGTATTATAACATTTTCTGAAAAGTGACACTGAACTAAAACTTGTTTTAACTCCTACTAATCTATTAATTCTCATTTCTTATTTGGAAACTAAACAATATAGTCTACTTTCAACATTTACTGTAACACTTAATATTTTGTGTGAGATTATTACTAAAAAAAACCTACATACTGATTTGAGTTTATTAGTTTCTAAAATATATCAGTTACAATCTCCATTTCTTGGGCCAGATTAGTTATAAAGGACAAAGCACTCTTATTACTCGTATAAACTTAATCTCTTTATTTATGACATTAAAGTCACAACAAACTTATTAATATCTTGAGTATCGTTCCATATCATAGAACAATAGTCTAAAAATATTTTCCAAAATTCTTTTACATAAACTACAAAATTATCCTCTAATTAATATATATCAAATAATTGTGCTTAAAAAATCTCGTAGTGATATTAGCTTGTTTTGGAATGACATTTATACTCATTGCTGTACCAGAAATTTGATGGAAAATTTATTCCTCATAAGTGAAAAAAAAAAATTTTAAGACTAGATCAAAATCTGTATTAAACCTGGGATGAATTTATTCCTCTTTTTGGTCCAGAAATAATTCCACAGCTTTAAGACCATAATATTGTTAAGTACATGGATAAAGGATATAAAAGATGTGAAAGTATATTTGTAACACTTAAACTAATTTATTTTTGAGTATATTCTAATGTATTCAATATATGTAAGGACTGTATTTTATATCTATATATTTTGAAATGTTTATGTTTAATTGAAAATAGGTATTCTGATGTTTTTATTATAGATTCTTGAAGAGTAAAGTCACCAAACCAGTAGAAAGTAATAAAGAAGAGAGAAAACAAGTTTTAAGTATTGTATTTGTAGTTTTTAGTGTATCTGTTTAATGTCTTCACTGTTGGAAACTTTCATGTGCTGTGGTTAGATACCTGCAAAACATTTGCTGTCAAATTAGTATATTTTTGTAACAGTACGTTTTTAAATACAGGATTTTTAGAATCCTACAAAATAATTCTAATCGCAACCACCAAGCCTTATACGTCCACTTGTCTTAGGCTTAACATTAGATAAGCCTTTATTGCGTACTGCCTACCTACAGTATATACGATAGAGATAAATTATTACTGTTACTTGAAAAGTTAACTTGTACGTTTTTACTTTTGATTTAGTTAGGGCTAACGTACCGTGCTTAATACTATTAGTATTACTATCAATAAATAAAGTTATATTTATAACCATATTCTACGACCCAGCGTTAGACCTTTTAAAATTTGTTGAGCTTTTAGTATGTTATGGTACAAAATGTCTATTAAACTAACTTGGATTCGGTAATTTTTGGGGGGAACTGAAAAAAAAAACAACAAAAAAAACGTGAGTGCTCGAGGATTTAGCTATCCTCCTACTATTACTAATACTAAAGTATGTTTACATTTGTTTATATAAAGTGTACGCAACTGCGCATTTAGATAGTAATGTGCGCTCGCATTTTAATAACGGAAAATACCGAGTATTATTATAATATATTAACTTTTTCAAAGTATAGCAGTTAATTCTACTGTAAGTGTAAGATATTATACCTCAAAAATTTAATTATGGACTTTAACGACCGTAGCCAGACTGGAGAGTTTTTGTCGTGTAAATAATATTCATAACACGGCTGATAATTCTAAAGTAGTACCAACGATATCATGGGAGTTAACCACATTGGAGTTTAGATTCACTGAAATTTTAAATTTAGAATATTTCATTGATGTTTGATTCTATTAACGTTATTGCGGCGATATTTCCCCGATTGTTTTACTTTTTTGTTTTTTAATGTATTTAGTATTCTATTTCTTGTGTACTTATAAAAATATTATGAGCATCGGTGATATCAGAGGTTAGACAAGTAATCAAAACTGGTGAAAATATCAGTATATGCGATTTACAAGTGCAATTAGATAAAGAAGAAAATGTGAGGCGATATAAGTCAAGATGTAATCTTAGAGGAAGGTAAGTTGTCGTAGTCAGGATTACAGTGTAACATGAAAAGAAAGAGTAAAACATGTTTTAAAATTATGGCAGTATGAAGAAGAATGCATTCAACCAAAACTTATGATTTCATACTGTGTGTGGCCTAGTGGTCATCGTGCCGGACTGTAAATGTGAGGGTCCTGATTCGCGTTCCGCTATCTAAAAAATACGCTCCTCACTTTGGAGCAGTGGGAGCGTTATAAGAAAAAAAAAGTAAAAAAAAAAGGTAGATGGCGGTGAATGTTGCTCACTAGTTGCCTTCCCTCAAGTCTGTCAGCTCAAAATTAGGAACGGCTGGCGCTCATTCTCGTAGCCGTTGTGCAGATTTGCGCAAATTTCCTGAATAAACAAATATATCTACATTTTTAGAATGTGGATTACAAGCTTATCAGGAAAACCTATAAATTCAAACACAGAGTATCCAGTCGAATTACTTAAGAATGGTGGAATGTTGTTATTTATTGTTTGTTTCATTATATTGAAATTCGGTTTATTTTTTAAATTTGGCATAAGTAGTAATTCAGATATTATAGTTTTTACGTAGACGTGAAAATGAAAGCAAAATTCCTTTTTCTGTAGTAGTGGGTCTTTTGAATTTTTTATGGAGAATGATTCGATAAGATTTCTTTTTCTAAGTGTAGTTACTTGCATTCTCAAAAACAAACAAAAAAAAAAACAACAACTTTGAAGTCAGTTTTCACCAACAAAGTTTTACTGGCCATGATCAGATTCTGAATACTCGTATCGTAAGCATTTGTTTTAAGAAATCATCTGTTTCCTGATGAAGGTAAGAGAAAGATAGTTTAAAGATTAAATTATTTAAATTGTAAGGAAACGTACATAAATTGTGGGTGTTTTGCTTTGTAGCTTATTCACTGAAAAATGCAAAGAAAATCTAAGTTTGTGCTTTTACAGAAAATCTGCAGGTTATTGAATATACTTGTTAGTAATAATAGTTGATTAAACAAGTTTCTATAGTACACGTGTGTACAAAACTAAATTAATATAACCTTCTTTAATCTAAACCCGTTTTGTCTGAGCCGTAAACATATTTATCTCCATTTTACAGGAATCTGAGATACCGACAATAATATCTTATTTATTTCAAATGGTGTATGATTTCACATTGGTTTTAAGATGTGTCATGAACAAGCAATTATGATGTTCGAACAACTGAAAATTACATTAATCTCCTCGTGAAAACTTAAACATAAAAAAAGTTACAATGAGCATTAAATGTTGTTTAACGTTTTCTATTTTTTTATTTGAATAAGAATTATGATAAATATAAGGAAAAGGCCAGAGCACACTTGTTGTTGCTTTAACTTATCAATCTAACAACTTGTGATTGGTACGTTTCCAGAATAATATGCCAAATGTTATTGCACGAAAGAGTTTTACACTTAGCCCTGGGACGCGCACATAACCTGTTATATAAACAACCTTGCTTGAATCTTATACAACAGTTGTTGCGATCATTGAGGTCTGGTAGGCAGTTGTCACGTCCATTTCGATATCGTTTGTTGCGAACATTGGATCACCAATTCCCAAATTATGAGGTTTCACCTTAGTTTTTCCCTTTTCTTATTTAAAATATCTCTTAAAAGCTTTTTTCTAATGGCTTCATTATAAAACTTTTTTTGACTTGATTTTTTCTTTGATGTAAAATGTATGAAATGTATTGCTTTGCTACAACTTCGTAATACCCGATGGTTTATAATCAGCAAAGTAGAAAAGACAAATAGCCCATTGTGTAGCTTTGTGCTTAACAATAGAAAAACACGCACAACAATACTACTGTTAATAATCTTATGGGGCAGTGTAACAAGTTGTTTTTAATAAAAAAAATTTTGGATTGTGTTATTATAATGCTTACAGTTTATCACTGTAGTATAAACTTGTGTTTTTAAGCCGCTTTCAATGAGTCATTTTATGGTGCAAATATAGCGTTTCTTATTTGGCAGAGTACCACCAACTATGTAATTTGAAACTTAAGATAACTGTTTAGGTTTGTACATTTAAACAAAAAAATAAATAAATAAAAACTGTATTAACATCCTAAAGGAAATCGTAAATTTGTAACAACTTACAAGTTTAATGCTAATGAAGTTGATAAAAGAAGCATTTTTACTACCGATTGATTTCTTTAGTTCAGAGAAACTAAAAGTATTAGCTATAATTACATAAAGTGATTTTTAATTTTATTCAAATTTTATCATATGCTGATTGAACTCTCTGTTCAAGCTGTGTTAATTACGTTCATTTTATATCTTATATTTATCTTATTTTCACTATAAGTTTTAGTTTATTATTTTGGCTAATATCGCATAATTTCATGAAATTTACTATGACTAAAATCAATTTTTTTCTTGGAGATAAACACTGGCTGCAGAATGTGTAGAAATAGCTTGTATAGAGATTTTGTGGTAGAGTTTGGGCTATATGAACAGATAAAGCTTATATTTCCAATTAGGGTTTTTAATATATCATTGGGGTATGCTGTTCAAGCCTGTAATGACTGGTAGCTGATGTTTCCTTAAGTATGTTATAGTACTACATGTATAGCCTGATTCATACAAACATAGAGTTTTTAATATATCATTGGGGTATGCTGTTCAAGCCTGTAATGACTCGTAGCTGATGTTTCCTTAAGTATGTTATAGTACTACATGTATAGCCTGATTCATACAAACATAGAGTTTTCATACTGGCTTTAGAATATATTTATTAACATAACATAAAGGTATGGTGATATGATACAAATATCATATCTTGAAGCTGTGGTATGATTGTATTGCTACATCTTCTGATATGATATGATTTATGTATTTTCACAAAATTTGGCAAGTTTTCAGTAAACACAAGTCTTTTGTACAGAAAAAAATGAGAATTTCTAATAAAGTATTTTTG